ATAATATATATATATATATATATATATATATATATCCATTACTATTATAAAGGGAGAATATGGGAGTTTGGTGTCTACTTATAAAATGTCTATAATGCTCTTCATTTCTCCCAAATAGTTTCCGGGCCATAACTATTTCTTTAACCTCATGTAATTGTATTCACTCATGAAACGTCTATGTGACTTTTTATTTCACACAGATAATCGTTTGCAAACCCTCTAATATTATATATTCGTTTACACTTAATCAATTAATATTATATATTCAAAACAAACAGTAATGTAGCTAATGATATTGAATAATGAAATTTAATCATCACATATTGCTATTATGAACAAATATTCAAATCACGGCTACAAAAAGTGTAAGTTTAAATATTAATAAGTAATTAAATTAAATATAAGATGCGGCTATGCCTTCTGAGGGAAAAATACAAAATGCAATTATAATTTGGACCTATTTGGGTTTGAGTTATAATCTTAAATTGGATATTAAAGTAATCTAAGTCGCAAACTTATTCCGTTTGGGATCGTGCGGTTTTTGAACATGAGATGCTTATGTTCCGTTTGGTAGGGAGGATGGGAAGTATAAAAGATACACTTTCCTTTCTTTTTGTTTGGTTGGATGGATGGAAAATAAAATTGACTATTTTTTTTTTGTGCTGGCTAAGATTAGGAGTGACAATCGAGTCGTGTCGTGTCAGATTCATGTTGAGTCATTACAAGTTTGTGTCAAATATTAGTCAAACCTAATTAACTCATTTAACTAATTATGTCGTGTAAAGTTGCGAGTTGACATGTTTATTTTTGTATAGAGTTCAAGTCGTGTCATCGTTTTGAGTCAAAAATTTTTATCCTTAGTTAAGATAAAAAAATATTTTTTTTAAATTTAAAATATTTTTTTAATTTTAATTTTATTTTTATTTTTAAAATTTTTTAATATATATATATAATACCATTATATTTTTATATGAAATGAATGTATACATAATATATGTATATATAAAAAAATATATAGACAAATAAGATACATCTCAACACAAATAATTAATTTTTCATCCATTTTTCTTCTGATTTTGGAGAGATTGATTTTGGTGATTATAAAGGAAAATTAATTCATCAACTTTTTCATCCTTCCTACTATCATTTCTTACCAATGATGATGTTTTATTTATCCTTTCAACTTTCTATCATTTTACTTTTTCATCGTACCAAACGGAGCATTAGAATATACTTATGCTTAGGGTATACTTACGATTCCGAGATGCTTAGGATATACTTCAAAGTTGTGTCATCCTTTTCATACAACGCAAGAGATATACATTCATAGACATATAAGTATCTTAGAGCACAAGTTTTTTGGCATTGCAGGTTCTAAAGAAAGTCATTAAGATATATGTACACACACACATATATATATACTACGTACTCGTATTAAGATATATCTGATAGATTATTACCGAACTGACATTGTTTAGAGGAAGTTTTTCAAGTTTTTTGGTTTGTTTTCAACAAAAAAAAATTTAAATTTTTTTGGGTCATGTTACAACTTTTTAGGGTACTTGTGATCGATCCTAACATTTCGTATTGATCCTAACATTTTAGGATCAATACAAAATTACCCTAAAAATTGTAAATGAACCTTAAATTTTGTAAATGAAAAACCACAAAACTTGTAATAGTGATACCATACCATTTTCTTTTCATTTTTTGCCCGTGCAGTAATGTTCTCGTGTTTGCATACATGCATTGTGAAATGTCTATGATTTTTATTGAATACTGGTACCCATATATTCTTTTTATTTCCCAAAGCCACCCAAACGAGACCTTAGGGTGTGCTTGTTTGGATAGATAAAGGTGAAAAATGGAATTGGATTGTGTAAAAAAAATTTGTAGCCCCACAAATACCAACTTTGGATTCAAAAATTTTTATGGGATAATTGTTGGGCTCAGTTAGTCTGCCTGTAGTAAATGAACCGTTTATCCCCTCTGATACAGATAGCTTAAATCCCACGCGACATAAAAGCCGAATTTACCAACATGCCCCTCAACAGTAACAACCTAAACCTTGTCATCTTTCTTCATCGGCACCTACAATGCAGCTTTCCACTCTCTCCCTCTCTCTCTCTCTCATGCTACTTGTTTTGCTTTGGAAGTTGTAACCCAAGTATAGATGTCAAGCAAGTAGTAATTTCATTGTAAAGTCCAAAGTCGAACCACAGGGAAATGGGGATTTTAGAATGAAAAAAAAAATATTTAATAAAAAATGTTTGTGTGTTTAAGAGAGATTGATTTGGTAGTTGAATCTTAAAACAAATAAACTTAAATAGCTTGAGAAAATAATTTGGAAAAATACTAAGGCATTAGATACTTCTTCAATAACAATTGGGCACTAAATTAATCCTAATTTCCAATCACAATTGAGAAACAACTGGGGAGTCAACTCAATTAGAAGATTTATCAATGATTAATGACGAAATTCTATAAGATATAATCAATAAACTAATCTAAAAGATTCCAAATATCCAATTGTTAATTACAAGCATGTAACATGTCCGAAGTCAATGATAAATCAAGCAATTAATCAATCAAATATCTTAATTCATATAAATCAACAATTCAACTAATTAGAATAATTCATTAACAATTCAACTTAAGCTTTTACATCTAGTTATTCTACTCACAGGAAATCTCAAGTTTCCATCACATTTAATATAGTAATTCGAGATATTAATAGAGATAAAAAAAATTTAAATAAAAGAATTTAACAATTAAATAAAAACATCAATTAAAGCTCATAGGATTAATTATATACCCAAATGCATACTGAATTTTCTCCTAACCTTAGTAAAAGCGTTTAGTCAATCATTAATTGGGGCTACACACAAAATTAAAGAAAGATTAAAGAAAAAAGTTTCCAGATCTGGAAAATTCCCCAAAAAGTTGTAAAAAGTACAGAGAGTACTTCCCAAATCGGAGGAAGATGACCCAAGCCTCGTTTCATCGAGCTCTTTGATTGGCTGTGAATAAGGACACACATCTTGAGGTGGGTAAAGTAACATCCGAACACGAATCTTAGATTTACATGCGTTTGGATGTGAACAATGTATCGTTAGTATGTGAGAAGCTAAGAGTTCTTGCAATTTTTCCTTTAATGTAGAACCCGCTTTCGACAAGTCATATGATGGCCGTACGTGGTCTTCATGGCTCTTTTCTTCAATGCTCTCCCTTCCTTTGTGCCATCCGTTCCCATATTTGTCTTCTTATCTTATTATTTCGTCGTTTTACTTGTAAAATAAGTAAGTTCTTGCAATTTTTCTTTGATTCAGAACCCCGCTTTCAACTTGGTCATATGATGTCCTTACGTGATCTTCAAGGCTCTTTTCATCAATGCTCTCCCTTCCTTTGTGTTATCCATTCCCATATTTGTCTTCTTACCTTCTTATTTCATCATTTTACCTACAAAATAGGCAAACACAAGTTAAATTATGATAGAATGAAATATAGCATTAATCTCATACAATTAAGTACATACTTGTGACAATTGACCCTTAAATAATCTGATAAATATGCATTATTTAGGCTTAATTACTATGGCGGTGGATCTGACGAAAAATTCTAGTGAATATCAATCAGATCTCGAGTACCTTTCAGGAGCATTCAACGATAAAGTCGGCCTGCCTCCACCAACCACGTTGCTAAGCGGCTTTGAGAATTAGGAGGAGGAAACCGAGTTGGTACGGACTTCATCCAAACTCTGTGAGTTACAGGGGTTCGAGGATCAGATTTTGATTTATGGTGACCTAAAACATTGTTGATACAGTAGCACAAACGGACTGCAGACTTAGACAAAGCATATTGTCAAATTGTTTTCTTTAATTTTTTTAGCAACTTTGAAAAAGTTTACAACAAATACTTTAATTCAACACCTCAGATGTTCCTCAGCATTGAATTTGAATGTTTTAGAGCAATCAATTATTTATTTCATGAAAAATCTAAATCAATATCAAATTAAAATCAATTGGAAAAAATAGCTAGTAATTTCATTGTTTTTCATCAAATTTATATATGTAATGTAAAACTTGTTAATATATTTTGTAAACTGAATTTTTTTTTTTTTATGTTTAGGCAAGATCGAACATATTCGGGGTTGAATTTTTTGAATTTTTTTAGAATGGAACGCTAAAAACTTGATTTGATATAATAATTTACTATTTTAAACTTTGTAAAGTTGTAAATTAGTATTGCCAAAACAAATATAACATACTTTTGGATGGATTGTATTCAAGGGTATGATGGTAAATTTATGTCAAAATTATGAGATTTGATCAATATGTAAATGGGTTAGTACATGGGGCGCACAGTGTCCGAAAGTAGTAGCCAACTGAAGGATGGGATAAAAAAAAATATGCTAATGCAAACTTTTAGCTGGCTGCCAAGGGATTACTTTGGATAGGACTGAGCTCTAAATCCAACCAGGTCCAATTCGTCTGAGTTCAGCCCAACACACCCTTATTAAGGTATTATCGTAGTTGGGATTTAATTCATCTTCACTCTACATTTCAAAATTTTTGTCAAATTATTGAACTTTCACCGGGTCTCATTGGGACCCAAGCAAATTCATTGTTGAGTCCATGGAACTCAAGAATGGATTACTTAAACTGATAATTAAAACTTTTATATTAAGAGGATCTGAATTCAATTGTAGTTTTTTTTTTAATCCAAATCAATGAACTAAACAAGCATATATAACAAACTTCATCATTTGTAATAGGTGAAAATCATTCCACCAAAAGAACCACACATAACAAACTCAATTATTTTATTGCTAGTCAATCTTTTAGAAAAGATGCCACCAAACATAACCCAAACTAGTCATATACTCTTATAACAAGTTTAAGAGTAGTGTGATGGAATGTTTATGTTTGTTACTTTTATTCATAAAATATACTATATTAACTTGTCACACCCTAAGATATTGATTTCTAGTGATTCTCCCACTAGAATTGTTTCTGGAGAAGCTCAATCACTTTCTCGTCCACTTGAAATGCCTTGGTAAGAACATCAACAGAAATGGGTGGTGTCAAGCCAAAGACAGCATCTGTGATAGTGATGACCCTTGGATTTTGGCTGCTTAGAGCGACAATAGCCACCGCATTAGTTTTGCCCACATTGAATTGGAAGTGAATGAGACCAATCGGGAACACAAAGACATCTCCCGCATGTAAGACCTTGGTGAAGAGGCGGTTGCCAGAGTTCAAATTGGAAGTGACAAAACCAACATGCAGGGTACCCTCCAAGACAACAAGGATTTCGGTAGCACGAGGGTGGGTATGGGGTGGGTTGAGGCCATTGGGACCAAAGTCAATACGAGCTAATGAGATACCAAGAGTGTTGAGTCCTAGTATTTGTTCCACGTTTACTGGAGTAACAGTTGACCCAACTCGATTTGTTGTATGTCTGGGGATGTTGAGACCGAGCATCTTGGGACCACGGAAGAAGAAATCATTAGCTATGGCAAGCTTTGGGTTCTTGCAAAACTTCCCATTCACGAACACTGCACTCACATTAATAGGTGTTTTGTAAAGTTAGGATTAGCTAAAATAATGTAGCTCAAACATGCGAAATCCAAATAAAAATAAAAACCAAAGAGAGCCCCAGATAATATAATGGGAAAATAGAAATGTTGGCAAGTGCTTATCTGCACAAACGATGCGTTATGAGTTCGAGTCCGAAATGAACATTTGCAAAATAAAGATAACATCCACTACTACTTACATTGATGATAAAAACTTGTAATGTTATTGAGAATAGACATATTGTGATAGTTAAAATCCCAAGCAATGAAAGTTGATAATTGACAATTAGAAGAAGATTATACCTGCATCCTTGGGTTCATCAATTGCAACACAGAAATCCTGCAACGGGCTAGGATCGGAGGCATAGGCAAAGGAAGATGCCAAAGAAACAAGGACAATGGTAAGAAGGAAGTGATTGGTGATTTTTTTTTTTTTGATTGGCCTCGCAGTACTCTGTATATATATGAAGCAACTTGTGTTTTCTATGAATGGTTGCTTGATGAGAAGTGTGTAGATTTAACATGGAAAAAGCCCCTATATATAACTTTCTATATTTTTAGACCAATAAGCCTCTGTAACTTTCTATATAAGATCTTTACTAAGATTTTAACTTCAAGGTTGAGTACTTTGTTGCCTAAGCTCATTTCAGGGGAACAACAGGGCTTTGTAAAGGGGAGGAGCATTTCAGGTAGTATAGCATTGGCTCAATTTATGGTGAATGAGCTTGACAGGAAGGTTGCAGCTGGAAATGTAATAGTCAAATTGGACATGATGATGGCTTTTGATAGATTGGAATGGATTTTCTTTTTCAAACCTTAAGAAGCTTTGGCTTTTCTGGCATCTTTTTGGGTATTATCTCCAATTGTCTTCATAATCAATATGTGACTCTAGCTATCAATGGCACAAGACATGGTTTCTTCCCCAAATCAAGAGGACTTAGGCAGGGAGATCCTTTGTCTCCCAGTCTATTTATACTAGCGGAAGAGGTATGGAGCAGGGGATTAAAGTATATTTATGAGCAGGGGCTGGTTCAATACTACCATACAGGTAGAGGATCTTTGACACTGACTCATCTGCTGTTTGCAAATGATACCCTAATATTCTTGAAAGGTACTAAGAGGTCAATGGTTAACCTATTGAAGTTTGTGAGAAGATATGAAATTTCTTCTGGGCAACAGGTGAATAAGTCAAAGAGCTCTTTATATTGTTCTGCTAAGATGTCTTTAGCAAGAAAGCATTCACTCTCCAATTCTGCTTACATCCCCTAGAAGAATTGCCCTTTTACATACTTGGGATGCCCCATTATCAAAGGTAGAGTTGAGCTGATTTTTTTTTGAGGAATTGTTGAGGAAATTCCAGTGGAAACTTCAAGGATGGTATACAAAGATGCTGTCTTGCTTCACTAAATTTGCCTAAAGGAATTATCTCTAAGTTGAATTCTATTATGGCCTCATTTATTTGGTCTGGGAAAGCAAATATCAACAAAAGACACTGGTGTTCTTGGAAAGTTATTACTATGCCTAAAGATGAAGGAGGATTGGGTATAAGGAAATTTGAGGATATCCAACAAGCATTCAGAATGAAACAGGTATGGAGTTTGCTTAATGGAAAGTCTATCTGGGCAAAGCATTTCTCTGCTAAATACTTGAAAAACCAACATATGCTCACTAGCTCAGCACATAAATATTCCAAAAGTTATAGAGATTTGGCATCATTGTTTGAGTTGATCTCTAGTAATTCATTGGTGCTGGTGGGTTCTGGATGTTCAGTGGATTTTTGGTGTCATAACTGGACTGGTGAAGGTTCACTCATTCTTAAGAACTCTGTCAAGCCTACTGTCTTCCCAAAGCTATCTCAGTTGTTTGTTTGTAGAAGGACATTGGGAATTGGGAGAGGTTTCCCAAATAATGGATGATCAATTGTTACAGGAGGTTACAAGTGTGCAGTTGGGTCTTTCAACAAGAGAAGATAAAATTATTTGGCATCATTCTCCAGATGGACAGTTTACGCTTAAGTCTGCTTGGAATGGTATAAGAGTAAAAGGACATTTTAATGCCCAAGCTGCAGCAGTGTGGAAACAGAAGGTGCTACCAAGTGTGCAGTTAATTGGATGGAAGCTACTGTAGAAATCATTGCCTATGGAATCTCTATTTCAAACAATAGGGGTCTCACTGGCTAGTAGATGTGTTTTTTGTTATAAGGTATGTGAATCACCTACCCATATCTTTGTCCAATGCAAGTATGCACAGGCAGTGTGGGAAGGTATCTCAGCAAAGTGTGGGATTCAATTGATTGCACAGGAGGAACCTCTTGGTAGATTTACGAGACTTGTTAGAATATACAGGCACCTTCAGTTAGTCACTTTTTAATTAGAGGTTTACCTTTACTGATCTATTGGCAACTTTGGAAACAAAGGTGTAGAAGGTTATTTGATGGTCAGGCATCCCATTCTATGTCCCTATCTAAAATAGTCATGCATTTCTTGAGACTCCAGACATATATCATTAAGCCTAAGGCTTTGGACACTGTTCAAGAACTAGATATGCTAAGCAGCCTAAATGTGACTATCACTAATAAAGCTCTAATCAAGACATGGTGGATTGCTTGGGAATACCCAGTGGAAGGATTTTTGAAACTTAATATTGATGGGGCCTCAAAAGGCAACCCAGGTCCATCAGGTGGTGTAATACTCAGGAATTCTAAAGGTCAGCTAGTTCTTGCAGGGTCCTACTGCTACGGTTTTTGTACAAATATGGAGGCAGAGATGAGGGCATTATGGGATGGTCTGTGTTTGTTACAGGACTATGGTTTGACAGATTATCCTCTGATCATTGAAACAGAATCAAAGGTATTGGTGGATATGATTTCGAAGAGGATCCAATCTTCTTAGCATTTCTGGACTCTATTGGACAAAATATTTTCCCTTCTTCAGAGATTCTCATTCCAAATCAAGCATACTTTTAGAGAGGGTAATGCAGTAGCAGACTCCCTGGCTAACAAAAGTGTGATGGATGGCAACTCTAAAACCTATACTGCTATTGATGGCCTTCCAACAGTAATCAAGCAACTTGTATTACAGGATTTCTAGACAAATACGAGTTCTAAGGAAGCCCCGAATGATTTTATGACATGCATTTTGGAGACTGAGTTCTTTTCTTAATTGGAGAATAGATCTAGTTTTATCAGACCTGTCTTCACAATTGTCTTCTCAGATAGCTCGGACTGTTCACCTACCCTGCAGCCGTCTCTTCAATAAGGTAGCTGCATTATCATGTGTTAGGCTTCTCGGTTGTTTAGCTCCACTGGACGCCTCTCTGCTTCTTCCAGCTCAAATAGCTCCCACAGCTTGTCTCCCAGCTCAAGACAACTCTTGTTCAAAGCTCCAATCAACTGCTGTCTTTATTTCATGTGAGCTGCTCTCAGCTCCTTTCTTTCTCGTAGCTAGGCCCCCAGCTCAGAGCAGTTACTATCATCAATATTTTAGGGGCAGCTTGCTTATTTTCTTTCATTTCATTATTTTGTAACTATGCATGCATTTTGCTCTTTGTTTTATTTTAATTTTATATCTATGTAATTAGATTGCATTGAGGGGTAATACGTCCCCTGGCTAGGTGTAATTTAATTTTTGATCAATAAATTTCCTCGCACCATCGAGGCTCCATAAAAAAAAAAAAAAAATATATATATATATATATATATATATATATATATATATATAGGTAGTGTGTCATTGATCTAGTCATTATGTTCATAACCACCAGAGAAGACTTTCCTAGTCTTCCATGGTTAGGTTTGACAAGTTATTATTAATCCTAGCAATGGTAGTTTTTGACAAGATAAACAACCATGCACAATGTAAATTCAATAAGATGAGATTGATTAGCTTTCGATACTAAATTTAAAATAAATTAATCTTTAAGACAAATAATGAATGAGTCAAGTTTGTATCGGATATGAATAAATTGATTTTGACACGATAAATCTATTTAAGTACTTTTGAATAAAAAAAATATCCGACTTTTTCATGTTTGTTTTATTTATATATCATATTAATCCTCGCAAAAGTGGAGAAAAACTTACGAAGTCCTCAATGGTTGGTTTATCCCTATATTTCAGAGCGAATTATTCCACAATTCCACCAACTCTTATTTCCTTTTTCGTAGCTGACATCAACATAATTTTCTCATTGATGTGGCCATTCGTCTTACCTTGCGTTTTCTTACAATCATCATCATAGCATGACTTTTTCCTTTTCTTTTTTTTCACCATAGTCTAAATACATACATGTACATAACTATGAAAACTTTGATACATGTATTGTTTACATCCACGTTCAGGGCACCATATGTTTATGTTTATCAATAGCTTATGTTGACTTAGTACATTCTATGGGTACAAAGTACATACGACGATATTTTTATTAATACATGGTGTGATGGAATAAAATTAATTGGTATATTTTTTTGGAACTCGGTTCACTTGGAAACTATTATTTAGGTCGTTTTTCACTATTACATGATATTATATATATCCACTACTATTATAAAGGGAGAAGATGGGTTTGGTGTCCACTACTATTATAATCTTCTCCTGTTTGCAAGCAAGAATTGTGAAATGTCTATGATTTTTGTTGAATACAATCAAGTACCCATATTAGGTGTATTCCAAGAATTAGTTTGTTGTTGAGTAATTCTCTCAAAACTCGTGAATATAATTTCTTTGGCATGTTGCAGGGAATGATTCTTTGTTGGATTTTAGAAAATCAAGCAGATGCTCCTCAGCATTGGATTTGAATGTTTCAGAGCAATCAATTGTTTATTTAATGAAAAATCTAAATCAATATCAAGTTAAAATCAATTGGAAAAAAAAAGCTAGTAATTTCATAGTTTTTCATCAAATCTCAGTATGTAATGTAAAACATAGTCAACATATTTGTTAACTATATTTTTTGAATTTTTGAATTTTTTTTTTGATGTTCTGGCAAGATCGAACTTATTTGTGGTTGAATTTTTTTGAATTTTTTTAGAATGGAATGCCAAAAACCTGATTTGGTATCATAATTTACTATTTAAAAATGTTAATACAACATTAAAGTGGTAAATTAGTCTTGCCAAGCCAATTATAACATACTTTTGGATGGATTGTATTCAAGAGTATGATGATTTGATCAATAGGTAAATTAGTTAGTACATTGGGCCTGTTGGATTCAACCAAACACACTCTTAGGGTTGTTTGGTATGGGGGTATGGGGGGCTTGGCAAGACGATGACCCCTGTATTTTGGCTGCTGAAAGCGGTAATAGCCACCACATTAGTTTTGCCCACGTTGAATTGGAAGTGAATGAGACCCATCGGGTACACAAAGA